CATGAGCTAATCTTTGCCATTCCCAATACCTGCACACAATAGGTACCATTTGAAGATCCTTGGTTAATATATATGGTACGATCTTATATTCCCCCTCCCAAGCATATAGAAAAAAATCGAGTAAGCCTTGGGAGGTTTAGGAGTCTTTATATTACATCTGTGTCGATTTGGAACTATAGAGAGATGAAAGAACCACTTATAAGTGTTATCGATGAGCAATGTGAATTAGAGGCCTTTAAGCTTCATTTTGAGTTACCGCATGGCGTCAATCTATTCTGTTCTAAGGAGAGCTATCCTGATAAGTGTCCCCTACGTTGGTTCGTTTTATACAAATACCCTTTTAAACTTGGGTTCACTTGGCCTTTCTATATCTTGTCTAGGGAATTTTTGAAGGACAAAATGCATAAAATAACAATCTACTTTCATAAATTTCTTTATTATAACATTGTACTTCCTGTTTTTCTTATTACAACAATGTACTTTCAAACTATTTTTTATTAGAACATTGTACTTTGAAAAATTTACCCATTATAGCATTGGGTAACCTTTTGATTTAAATATACCCATTATACCAGGTTTCTATGCCACCTCATTGTTCATGTAGGCTATCCACATGTACTATAGTGATGCAACTTTCTTATTACAACATTATACTTTCAAATTTATTTTATTATAACATCTACTAGTTCTTATTAAACAATGTACTTTTAATATTTAAATATTTTACATGTTATTTAATAAATAAATTAAATGAATTAAAAAAAATTCTAAATTATTCGTTAATATAATAATGTTAATAAAACTAGTAGAAGACAACTTATCTCGCTAATATTTTTTTTTTAAAATATATGTTTTTTGAAAAAAGAAAAAAAGCATTGTTAATTTTTTACCAAAAAAATATTATCTGTTAAAGAATATATATTATATTTGTTCAAAAACTTTACTTAACGTATAAATATATTAAATTAATTAGATTTTTTGAATTACTTATTAATATAACAATATTAAAAAATCGTAGAACACAATTTATTTCGTTAACATTTTTTAGAGAGCTTTAAAAGATATGTAGTTTTATGAACAACATAAAATAAGAAGTGTTACCTTTTTTACAAACAAAATATATCTCGAAAATAATGTAGCATATTTATTTAAGAAATATTTTTTCTCTATATTTAATTTGCATGCAACTTAATAAGAAAAGATCAAAAAAATAAACGTTTTTTAAATCATAGCAATGAAAAATGAAAATCACTAATAATAATTTGAAATATGTTTTTATTTTTATTTTAATTAAATCATCAAAATGATGTTTCATCCACATCACCTCACTAAAGCCACACAAGCAAAAAAAGTTAAGGGGTTAACCGGTTTAAAAGGTAACAAGTTACCCAGTGCTATAATGGATAGATTTTAAAATGCGATGCCTTAATAAAAAATAATTTGAAAGTACATTGTTGTAATAAAGAAAAACAAAAGTAGAATGTTATAATAAGAAAAATTATGAAAGTAAGTTGCTATTTTATGCATTTAACCCAATTTATGAATGCTTTCGAACTTTATCCGAGGTAGATGATGCCCTGATTCTAGAGAATAATCTGCATCATCAACAAGCTGACTACTGGATGGGAATCCCCCTTTACCATCCATGAACTTCGGGTGGCTTATACGATTAAGTCGGAGAGTAATCATTGATACAACCTTTACATAACGGCTAGAGGTAATTAACTCTTGGTCCTAGGCACTTCTGTTAGGGTGCGTTTGGTTTGCAGGAATAGAATGGAATTGGGGCGATTTGGATTTAAAATCCATTCTAATCCTATGTTTGGTTTGCCAAATTGTCAGGATTTGAAATCCCGGGATTTCATTAAAATCCATTAAACATGGGATTTGGAAATCCTTTGCAAAGGGGTGGGATTTGAAATCCAAATCCTAGGCACTTCCTCCCAGCGCTTCCTCCCATCGCTTCCTCCTGCTTCACTTCACCTCACTTCCCTCCCATCGCTTCCTCCCGCTTCATTTCAAATACAATCCAAATCCTGCAAACCAAACACAGGAATGGATTTTAAATCCAATCCAATCCAAATCCCTCCTGCAAACCAAACGCACCCTTAATGACAGAAAGTGGAAGATCATATACGTCTTTAGCAAAGTGTCGACGTTATGGGATGAAGACTAATGGTTGGCATCCGTCTGGAACACAAATTGAAAATGCCATCCTTATTTTAATTTTTTTGCATTTAAACTTTTTATCAATGACTAACTTTTTTTGTCTTGCTTTTTTTTCGTAGATATCGACTTCTCTCGAGTGTATCCCTTAATAGAAACTTAAGAAAAGTTTAAGAAGTTCTTCGACTGTCCAACTGAGAATTTGCATAGACGACCAAAAGCTGATCGTTGATAGATAAGGACGACGATAAAGATGAAGCCGAATTTGTAGGGTCGTCCAGACCAAAGAGAAGAAGAGAGATAGGGGAGGGAGAAGAAGAGACAGAGGATATGTCAGATAAGTACCTTTCTACTTGAGGTGGATATATAATGTCGTAAATATAGATTGGCGAGGATTAATGATGTCTCACTTTTTCACTTTTCAGGTGAGACCTTTGGAAGATTTCTACTCCTACTGGGAAGTCTTTGGCACCCGCCCTTTTCGAGAAGGAAAGGGATGCTGAGCTTTCCCAAAAGAAAGAAATTTAAAAAGAAAACACTAGGGTCGAGTATAGACGTTAAAAGTCGAGGATGGAGACAAAGAGAAGGGAACCACATTTGATTATCGGCGACCAACCGAAGGTCGTTGATCTTGAGAAGACGAAGGTGCCATCTTCTAACACAACATCTAAGACCTCAAAGAAGAGGGTGCTGAAAACATCGGGGACGATGACCTTCTCCGTGAAAGGGAAGGAGAACAAGGTTGACAACTGGTCCAAAATGATGTCTATGACATTTAGGGTCCCTATCAGGTTTATGCAGGGGATACACTTGATAAGAGTATGTTCCCTCACATGAAGACGTTCCTTCTCCCTTAGAATAAGGAGAAGTGCGATAATGCACGTAGATATGCACATGGTTGGGCTATCTTTCAAGGTAAACTTCACATTTTATTTTGATCAGTTCAAAACTTGTTTTTTAACGTCGAGTTTAATGGATTGGAAAGCATTCCAATCGACTTTATCCTTGCACAATAGGATTGACATAATTCGTCACGTGTTGGCAGGCTATCTGAAGAAGGCTGAGGATGCTGAGGTGGCCAAGAATGTCGTTGTAGTCAAATTGGACAACACCTTTTTGCAAGATGGAGGAAGGGGGTCGTATCAAGGAAGACCTTTGTGATCGCCTAAGGAAGCTCCGTCGAAGATACCCATGTCTGAGGTGGATGAGAAGGAGGCTAAGGTTGCTAGCTGAGAATGAAAAAGAGGTTATGACGTTTAAGTCGACCTTAGTGGTGGCGAAAGATGAAATCTGAACTGAAGGAGGAGCTTGAGGCCTTGGAAGCCCTTCACTCCTCTTAAGACGAGAGCCTCCATTTATGCGCCAACATTGGCAGGGAAGAACCCACTTAAAGATGCTGAAGATAAATATACGTTGCCTTGAAATTGAGATAAAAAGCGATAATATTTAAAGATGAATTGCCATTGAAAAGGAAAATAAATCACGAAGAAAAATAACAAGATCAAAAAAGGGGAAAATTAACAAAAAAGTATGTTGACATAGTAATGGCTATGTCTAAAACTGTACTTGAGGTTGTTAGTGCCATCCTTCTAACTGTATTTTTAGTGTTAATATTTTCATTAATAGCATTGTCTAGCATGTGGGCCAGCCCCGCATGTGGGCCAGCCCCGCATGTGAGTATTAATCCTACCATCTCATCCATATTCAATTTATATTCTAAATTTGGTATCAAAGTAATTAACATGTACCTTCAAAATCAAATAGTTGCACCTTTCAGACTTCTAAATTTTTTGTTTTTGCAATAATCAAGTGAACGAGAGTATGGGTGTTAGCTCAACCCCTAATAGGTCCATCTAACACAAAGAGCGTGTGCATGTGTGTGTGTGTGAGAGAGAGAGAGAGAGAGAGAGAGAGAGAGAGGAGGGAAGCATTGCAAGGTTTGAGATTTGAGATATTTATTCGAGGTTCTAATGATTAGCTTATTTAATTTTTGTTTTGAATCAAAAACATGGAGGGAGAATCAATCGACTACAAAAATTTCGGTCTGATCTATGTGCTATATTTGGGAGACGATTGTCCCAACAACATTAGTGGTAAAATCATGCAATACATTTTTCCAATTTTAAGTTGGGGATATATGAATCAACTTAGAGGCATTAATTTGTTGTTGACACAGGTGTGGCAAGGTTTCTATGTGGCTGATAATTCAAGATCCCCCATTAAAATCAAAAGATGCACATGAAAGGGGCAAAAGCAAAAAGTGTATAACAGATGTAGAGAGATCTAGCATTATATTTGACAGTAACCAACTCAGAGAAGCAAGATCAACCACAAGAATCAGATAAAAGGTGCCCATATATATATATATATATATATATATATATATATATATATTCTCCCACCCATGCATGTGCATGTGTGTGACACCTATGGGTTTTTTGTAGCTTATTGCTACTGCTCCCTTGTGAGCACATAACTAGTTGTATCCCATTTGGCAGTGTTATATGTGCAAGTGTATGCAAGAGAGAGAGAGAGAGTATAGAATGACAGCCAAGTATATTCTAAAGATTGATGTTGTGGATGAGATGATTGAGGGTGAGAGAAATCTGGGTTTGGGTGGTGGGTGTGTTGTTGCTTTGGCTTCTGCTACTCCAATCTATCTTCTTTTTCCACAACTGGATAGAATCATAAACACACTTCATGATCCTCTTGTGGGTCATAAATAGACAGATTGGCTACATGGGTCCCACTGCCTCACATGTCCAGCCTCTTAGAAGAATTGAATACCCCACCCCACCCCCTCCCCATTCCACAGACAAGCCCCCACCCAACACATATTATTCTTTCATTATTTACTCACTACCCATACCTTCTCCTTTCCCTATTTATTCAATTCAAGCAACCACTTTCACATTACATATGAACAAGTAAGAGGAAACACTTGAAGTAGTTAAATTTAACTCTTTGGGACAGTTCAATTAAGAAAGCAAGCTTACTGAAACAAAGATGGAAGTGATAGAAGATGACCTTTTCTTTGCAGACTTGAGTAAGAGGATCTCCCTTCTGATCATGGATGATGATGAAGACCCTACTCTTCACTGCCCTCCTGTTTCCTTCCAGGTTTTTGCTTCTCTCTCTCTCCCCTAATTAACAAAGATTGATGAAAGATATATGGTACATAAGCATCACCTTAAACATGCTCTTTAATGGAAATCATATATAGGGGCTTTCTATTTGTGGAAGGTGACCTCATGCCACTTATATTTCGTTCTTCTGTCTTTCTACATTTTGTTCATGTTGTTTTCTGTTGTAGGTCATCTCTCAAACAATTCATCCAATCCATCACCAAGTACCAAGTTTGCATGACCAAAATGGTAGACGAGAAATCAAAGGAACGGGCGTGTTCATCCCACAATCATCCACTAATCGAAGGAGTAAGCATTCAAGATCCAAGTCTTCCAACACAAGGATTCAAACTCAAAGACATGTTGATCATGCTTCAAGTGGACACTTTCCTCATGAACCCTACCATAATCACAAAAATTCTACTAACCCTAATTCTTACAATTCTTTGAATCACAAAAGATGCTACTAAAAACCCACTCAATTAGCTATAGTACAATAAACTTCTAATACAATTGGATGTATAAGCTCAATTCGTCTGATTAATATGTAAGTGTGTATTTAATTTCATTTCATTTCATTTCTGCATCGATTTTTTTGTGGGTATGAAAGCGTACGAGAGTGATTCTTGTGAGTACTGAAATTTAATTTCATTTGGTAGATAATGAAGAGACGTGTTTGAGTACTACGGGCCAAACGTTATTTTTGATTTGGCTTTTCAAGTTGAACATTTCTCCCATAATGAGCTTCGTGGGGCCGGTTCCACCGCAAGAAATTTTCGCCATTCGTTGTGTCGAGGAAGTTTGTCAACAAGTTGTACTTTATTATGATTCTAAACAACGTCACTCGTGTAGTTTATATATTATTGTGTTATTTCTGATTTACCTATATCACCAACCCTTCCTACTCTCTCAATCTTTTTGGGCATTACTATGATAAAGAAATGTTTCTTTTTAAGATGTTTTGCTGTCCTTTGATCGATGACCTAATAGAATACTTGAAGTATTAATTAAGGGTTGTTTGATAGTTGTGTTATAGGATGTTTGGTCAGAATGATTAAGAGACTTTTATGATATATTGTAAAATGAAATATGGTTGTTTGGTAATTGTTCAAAATAAAATTATGACGCTTAATGGTTTAAGGATGCTCGAGATACAAAATCATTCAAAAAAAACCATTAACAGGTAGATCCTTTTTTTTGTCAAACAAGAATTCAACTCTTAAAGATTCAGAGGATGCTTGGAACTATTAAGAGCTAAACATAAAAAAAAAAA